GGGCCGCGCGTCCGCCCGTCGTCGTCGTCGAAGTCCTCCAGCTCCAGCCTCGTCTTGTTCTGTCGCCGACTGGGGTCGGAAGACGGCCTGGGGGGTGAGGGGGCAGGTGAGGGGAGGGCGCAGGGGCGCAGTGCCTGCGCAGCGCTCGGCGGCGCCGCTTCCAGGGGGCCTGGTCGGGCGGGCCGGCCGGCACCGCCCCCCTGGCCGCGTCCTGGGCCGGGTCCGCTGGTGGTGCGCGCGTGGGCGACGTGATGGATGGCGCTGAGAGTTGTGGCGAGTTTGTGCTCGAAGTTGCGAACGTGAGTTGCAAAAATGGCAGTACTCACGTAACATTTCCGTTCTGCACGCGCTCTGTTTAACTCAGCTCTCGATGGGTATTCGGAGGTGTGATCGCCAGTGGTCCCATCAGTTGAACGACGATTGCGACTGGTGGGCCAGCGGCGTGGCCACGAGGCGCATGGTTGACGTGGTGGTCGTGATAGCCCCCTTCGGCTCGCCTCCCCTGCCGCGCCGCGTGCGTTGGCAGCGGGGGGGTGGGGCCCAGGGGTGAGGAGCGGCCGCTCGGCGGGGCCGTCGGGGGGGTGCGCGCGCCGAGGGCCAGAACCTCGGGGTGTGTCGCTGGGGCGTCGACAAAAAGACTGGTGGGGGGCATGTCGGCGGTCCCCCCGCGTGTAAGCGTGACGATCCAGTAGTGCTTGGTGTCGCCGGAGCGGCCACGAACGACGCCGCGGAGACCGTCGATTGGGTTTTGCTCCTGGCCCTGGACAGTGGCCTCCGCGCCGATTGGAATCCCGAGGTCAGGGTTGGTAGGGTCCGTGAGGGCAGGGTCGCCCTAGGAGCCCCCTGGGGCGGTGCGTGGCGTGTCATGCTGCGCGTGCCCCGCGTCCGCAGCGGGGGGCGGGGCCCAGGTGGCCGGCCGGATGGCGGTTTGCGGCGCTGACGTGGGCGACGACGGCGGGGTCGTGGCCCGGGTGGCGCGCGCAGTGTGTGTGTGTGTGTGTGTGTGTGTGTGTGTGTGTGTGTGTGTGTGTGTGTGCGTGGATCGTGGTCGGTGGGGCATCTGCAAGGGCGGTGCTCGCTGACCCTGGGCGGTGGCCTGCTGCCGCGCGGGTGGGGGGCGACGCGAGGGCAGTGGCCTGCAAGCGCGCGGCCTGAGGATGCGTGTTGCTTGCCCTGGATTGCGTTCGCAGGGCCTGCAGTGGCGGGCGAGTTCGAGCCGTTGAAGAGCGCGGCGAACAGCGTGAAGACCGCACGCAGGGCGAGCAAGGCCCTTTCGGGGAGGGCAAGGCCCGCCGTGCCTATGATGCCGAAGGCGCTCCCGATGTGGGGGGGGGTGCTGCCGACGAACAGGAGGGCCCGGCTGGCCGCCCGAGTGGCCAGGGGGGGGCCCTGGAACCCGCGAGATTAGGCCCGGGGCCCGGAAGACCGCGGAGAGCGAGGCCGTGCCGACAGAGCAGAAAAGGCTGCCGAGGATCACGGGGATCGCGGCGAAGCGCGCGGAGCTTGCCGTCGCCCTCGCGGATGCTGAAGGCAGCCTTGTGGAAGAGCGGCGGGGCGCGGACGACGAAGTGCAGCGAGTTACGAGTTGCTGCTGTTGATCTCCGGGGTCCGGAGTCTGGCTGGCCGCTGCGGCGGCGCGGCGGATCGCCATGCGCGGCGCGAACGCCGAGGCGGCGGCGCGGGCCGTTGCGGCGGGTCTGGGCCACAGTCTCACTGGGCTTGAGCCGAAGGAGGAAGAGGAGGAGAAGGAGGGAGGAGGGTCGGGTAGACGGCAGGCTCCCCAATTCGCTTGACGAGCTGGCTGTCCCGGCGGCGCAGCGCCAGCGGGACCGCGGCGTCCTGACAACGCAATGGGGCGCTCGCTGGCGGACGCTGATCAGCGTCCGTTTGGCCATGGGCGTGGCCCGGGCCCTGCTGGGCGCGGTGCCCGCCCAGTGCTGGCCCTGTGGCGCCGTGCGTGCCGGGGTGGCGCGAGGCGCCCAGGCCGCGGGTCAGGCGGGCGCCCTGGCCGAGGGCGAGGCGGGCCGCGGGCCAGGCGGCGGCGCCAGCGGCTCCCCTCCCCCTCCTCTCTTCTCCTAGGTGTGCAGCCTCTTGGGATTCATGATTGGACTGCGAGAGAGAGAGAGGGAGAGAGAGAGATAACTATACATACACATCTACATATATATATATATATATATATATATATATATAGACGTATGTATGTATGTATGTATGTATGTATGTATGTATGTATGTGTATATATATAGGTATGTGTGTGTATATATATATATATATTCTATATATATATATATAGGTATGTGTATATATATATATATATATATATTCTATATAAATGTAGACAGAAATATAAATAGAGAGAAAGAGAGAGACATAGAGAGAGCGAGAGAGAGAGAGAGAGAGAGACAGAGAGAGGAAGGGAGAGATACAGAAAGAGAGAGAGAGAGAGGAATCCACATATATATATATATATGTATATATAATAACATTTAAATGTGCACATAACAAATGATGCATAGCAGCGCCACATCAACCACGCGCAGACACGCGGGTCGGAGTTGTGCAGGGCGTGCCGAACTGCGACTTCTCGGAATGTTGAGCTGCGAACCCTTGTAAAGTAATGGCCTTCGGCCCATCCCGCCACCGTTCCTTGGTTGTGGGCCATGGGCTTCTAGGTTGTTCGTTGGGAGGTTTGCCTCTTGGGGCCTTGGGAGGTCTTTTGGAGGTGTCTTGGGGGCCTCCTGGGGCCTCTTGGGGCGTCCTTGGGGCTTCTTGGGGCCCGCGGGCTCGAATTGTCCGTTGCGGAGCGCTTTCTGGGCTCCCTGTGGGAGCCGTTTTGGAGGCTTCTTGGGCCGTTGTGGGGGCCTTTTGGAGCGTTTTGGGGCCCTCTTGGGGCCGTCTTGGGGGTCTCCTGGGTCGTTTTGGGGGCCTCCTGGTTTGTGATGGAGCGTTGGGAGGGCGAAAGCGCGAGTATTCCCAAACCTTCAAACAAGCAGCGGACACATCTATGATTTTTGCTTCTTGCGGCCCTCATGTGAGCTTTTAGAGACGTGTTGGAGGCTTCTTGGGCCGTTGCAGATCCATCCTTCGTCGTCTAGATGCGCTCCTTGACCGTCCTGGGCGCTCGGTGGGGACATCCGCGACCGTCTCCGGGTCGTTTGTGGCGTTGTAGCTGTCCAGGAAGTCGTGCGGAACACTTCTGGAGCGCCGGGGAAATTAGTGGATCGGGCCGTGAAGAGATTACAGTGCTGGCTGCAGCAGCAACAGCAACCGCGGCAGCAACACAACTTTAAGCACAATCCTGGCTGCAGCAGCAGCACAGTTGTGAGCCTTGGGGTATTCCACTTCGTGCCCGAGGCACGGTGACGGATTTCTACGTGTTTGGAAGGCCCGGGGGCACAGGAAATGTGTAATGTGTGTGTGTGAGAGAGAGAGAGAGTGTGTGAGAGAGAGTGTGTGTGTGTGTGAGAGTGAGTGCCAAACGTTCGATCAAGACCTGGACCCATCGCATCAAATGGGCGAGCTTACAAGGCCGGTGGGGGCTGCTGGGCAAACGGGGGATATCTTCGAAGGGGGGGGCTATGGAAAAATATCTCCCACTACCACCCGAAACGACCATCCCATGATTCACGTGTCACACGCGCCGACAGGGCCACTTGAGTTCTACCATTGCAACCTCTGAACAAGCCTGCGGTCCGATCGAGCCAATGCTCGGTCCCGAGTCGGGCGCAGGCGGGCTATGTCCAAAACATCATTGTGTGTGCCTGAGGGAAGCAGCGCAAGAAGGTGGTCTTCCAGCATGTTGGCGCTGTTAGTTGTCATTATAGTCGGTTTGTGTTCACACTGCCAGCAGCTGTTGCTGTCACTCGCGGTCGTAGCGGTGCTGGTGCTCAAAGTTCGAAGAGCTGCACACGAGCCCATTCAGAGGCCTCCCCGCGAGGGTGGGCAAACGCGCGCCAGGGCTTCCACCCCGCGGCCGCCATGGCCAGGAGGTTCGCCCGTTTCAATTTCTAGGTGAACCTAGCTTCTTCTGTTCATCACCCATCCGTTTCTTCCTCTTTTCCATCATCGCATTGCTCTGCCTTGCCGCCGTGCGCCGCTTATTCCGTGTCACGCTTTGCTCGTCATCATTTTTTCCCATTGCCTGTCTCCTCCCCGCCATTGTTTTGCTCCTTCTGTTCTTGTGACCTCCCGCCCCCTGCCTTCGGCTTTTTCTTCTGCCATCCCTCCCGCTTACTTTTGCTGCGAGTGCCTCCGTGACCCTCCATTTCAGAAGCCTTCTGTGGGTGTCGTCCCATAGTGCTGCCACACCGTCGCCACTCTCCATCAGGCATTTCGCCCCACATGGCTTCTGACGTTCTGTTGCCACCCGCGGGCGATGCCTTTGGGATCAGACCCCGAGAGCCCAAGACACGCATTCCCGTACCTCTTCAGTCGTGGGATTCTTGATCAATTCATTTGCATTTCTGTGCATGGCGCTTCACTTCACGTTGTCCTCTGCTTTCCAAAGACGTGGCGCATCCCCAGAATCGGCGGCGAGTCTGGGGCGGGGGTGTGAGAGGGGACGGGCCTTCCGAGAAGCCGCCTGTTGTCTCGGAGATGGTTTTCAAGGCTTCTTAGAGGGTGCGAGGGCTTCCGAAAAGCCCCGCCGCCGTCGAGAGGGCCTGCCCCCCTCTCGCTTCCCCCTTGGGCGCGCAGCCAAGAGTCCTATTTCGATAGTCTTGGAATTTGGCAGCGCCGAGAGCCGGCAGCATACGGAGCCTACACCACAGCGGTCGCACCCAGCGCCGCCCCGCGGCAGGGCAGGCGTCCGTGGCCGAGGCGCAGGACAACAGATGCCCGCTCGGCTCGGGGCTCCGCATTTGCCCATACGGTAGGTTCGTGTCGCACAGCTGGTGGCCCAGACTCGGCCAATATGGAGCGACCCAGACATCGAAAGTACGCCGATCGCTCAAGGCTGAGGGGTCCATGCGGTGTCAGTGACCAGCGCCTGGGGCCGTCACGACCCGAGCCCGCTGCACACCCGTTCGGCTCGGCGCTCCACGCGGGACCACACCCCCTGCGCCGAAGCCCAGCGGTTGCCAGGAGGAGCAGCCGCAGCTTGCCGACCTGCTCCCGGGCGGGATCTCCGAAGGACGACCGCCACATGCAGAGGAACGGAGCCCTGAGGGAGAGGCGTCCGCAGGCTCACCGCCGCTTTCGGGCCCCGGGGTGCAACCCGCCTCCCCTTGGGCCCCGGGGCCGTTCGCAAAACGGGCTCGGGGTTCACTCGGGACCGCCGACCGCCCGCCCCCGCTTCCACCTCCTCCTGCTCCTGCTCCTCCTGCTCCTGCTCCTCCTGCTCCTCATCGTCCTGCTCCTCCTCCTCCTCCTCCTCCTTCTCCTCCTCCTTCTCGCCTCCTGGGCCGGAGGTCGGAGTACTCGGGCTTCTGCCGCTCCCCGCTGCGCCTCTGCGCAGGACGTCGGCGGCCGCCTCCGGCGTGAGGCCCTCGGCGGCGGCAAGCCGCGCCGCGGTCGAGGCCGGGGACGTGTTTCTGAGGGCTGCGTGCGGCCGTGGCAGCCGAAAGCCTGGAACCTCGAGCCTCGAAGCAGCACCCAGGCCTGTGAGCTGCGGAGATTCGCGAAGAGCTCGGATGCGGCGCTGCCCCCCTGTCGTCGTTGCCCCGGATCCCCGCAGAGCTCGCATTACAGATCTGCCCTCTTCGCCGGCCGCGCCGCCACGGGCGGGCGGCCAGGGTTGCCCTGACGACCTCGGGCGACTTGGACGGGATCAGCGGGGGCCAGGCCGTCCAGGTCACCGATCGGGAAGGAGGTACGGCAGCGCTGTCCCGGCGGCCGCCCCCTGAGCTCTCCACGCGGGCGCTGCTACCCGGTGGGCGCCGCTCCACTCATCCCTCTTATGGGCCCGATGTTCACCCCCTGGCGATGACGGCTGTTGCCAGGTGGGGGAGGGGGCTTGGGCGAGAGGGCCGGTAACGTCACGGTCCGCGCTGGCGCCGTCTGGACGCCAGCTACCCAGAGGAATTCCCAAACGGCGCCAGCGCGAACCGTGGTGTCACCAGGCCAGGAGGGGGAGGGGGGAGGCCTCCCTGGTAGCGGCCGTGATCGCGATTCATAAAAAACGCGCTCCTTCCTCAGCCGCTGAGCGCCGCTGCTGCCGCGATCCAGGCTCTGAGCAGGTTGGCTTACCGCTGCCCTGGCCCGCCTCCTCTTATCACCAGGGCGCCTGATGGGCGGTGCCCAGAGGCGCTGCGTGGACGAATCCTCCGTTTGCGGCGCTATGTTCTGGCCCTGGTCTGCGCACACGTTTCCGTTTTTGCCCTCGCTCAGAAGACGCACCGTGATCTCGCAGACGCCGTGGGGTTGCCTGCACTTCCCGCGAGCCGCGGGCGCGTCACCGCGTTCTGCTCTCAGTCTGTTTGACTCGGGGAGATGGCCCAGGCCTTCTTTTCAAGCTTTGTGGGGCCCGCTACTAAACGTGAAGCGGGGCTGGTGTGTCCCCCTTCTTTGGCCTTCGCGTCCCCTCTCCCGCTCACTCTCTCTCTACCTCTCTCCCTTTCGCTTCCCTTCCCTCTGCCCCACCACCTTCTCCCTCTCCCCTTTGTCCTTTTTATTCTTCTTCTCCTTGTCGTTATTGTTGTTATTACTGTTGCTGTTGCTGTTGCTGTTGTTGTTGTTGTTGTTGTTGTTGTTGTTGTTGTTGTTGTTGTTGTTGTTGTTGTTATTGTTGTTGTTGTTGTGGTTGTTGTTGTTGTTGTTGTTGTTGTTGAACATTATTATTTCTAAAGAATAATTATTGTTGTGACCCCTGGTGCACGACCCCCCCGCCGCGCCTAGGCCGCAGCCTCCTTTTCATCATTTTCGTGAGGAAGTCTCAGGCAAAACGGGTTGGTCCGGATCCGGTTGTGTTGTTACGATCGGTTTTCCCTTGCAAAAAATAAGCTAAAGTGGACATTTCTTGTTCTAACATAACCAAACTTCAAGAATCCCTTGCAAAAAATAAGGTAAAGTGGACATTCGCGCGCGCAAGACGAAATCCTTCCAAAACCTTAGTTTTCGTAGCGATTTTAACATAAAAACATCAAAAAACCAATGGTTTTTCAAAAAAAAATGTCAAAATTTCATCCCGCGCGCTCTTGCGGATTCGTAGGAAACCCAACACTTTTTAAACATTTCTGTCAAACGGGCTTTTGCGAGCAACTTTTTCGAACTTCTGCAACAACGGTTGCGCACCTGCCAGGGCCATCATCCCTGTCAAATAATACCATGCGGGACACATTCGTTTTTTCTTCGCGCGCGCACGCCGTCGTCGTCGGCCGCGGGGCCCTGAATAGTAGCCACGGTCGTCCGCATGCCACGAAGTGAAGTGTCCGAACGTCATAGGGCGGGAAGCTGGGTGTGGGTGGTGGCGAAGAGTCGTTTGGAAATTTGGTAGAGCTTGAACCGGCCCCCCCACAAAGTGGGGGTATTGCCCGCCTCCTATGAAAACCCTGGCACTGGTGAGAACGGTGTGTCCCCACGTGCTAGTAATTGTTGTTGTTGTTGTTCTTCTTCTTCTTCTTCTTCTTCTCCCTCTTCTTATTATCCTTCTTCTTCTTCTTCTTTCTCCTGCACCTCTTCCTCCTTCCCCTCCCCTCTGCTGGTCCGCCCTATCCTCCTCTTCACCCTTCCCCTCCCCCTTCGGTTCAGGCTCAGCCTCCTCCTCTTCTCTTTCAGGGGAGGGAGGGAGGTGAAAGGGAATGGGAGAGGGAGGGGGGACGGGGGGAGAGAATGTTGCAGAGATGGGGGGCAGAGGCAAGATAAAGTGCGCTTGCGCCACATATGACATCCCACCCGTCCCTCCCGTCTCTTTCCATTGGGCTCAATATGTTCCGATTTACACGTGTCGAATGAGACCCATCCTCGAATCTTTTCGCAGCGCGAGGGGGCCAAGGGACAGGCCAGGTCTGAGGATGGGGATACGGAGGACTAGGGTGGGGAGGAGGGAAAGGAGTCGTAAGTGGGGCAGAATTTCCGCTCTACGTTTCAAGTTCCTTTGATGCCGACCACCTCCCGACTTCGCCGTCGCTGTTTGGGCCATGATTGAGCAGCAATATTAGCCATACTTTTCTGAGGCGGCGATTTCCGCCGTACTGTTTCGCATCGTTCGGGGTGCCTTTCCGACACAGTTTTTGAGTCGGGGGATCCAAGAGAATAGACGGCTGATCCGAAGTCAGGGCAGGAGGGGCAGGAGGGAAAGTAGAAAGGATGACGACCAGGGGGAGGTGGGAAAGGACGAGATCAACCACACATCGACGACGCCGGCGACGGCCAGCGCCGTGGCCGCCCCCTTACCTAGGTAGCCTGCGGCCTCCCCGCCCCCTCCCTCCCTCCCTCCCTCCCTCCCTCCCCCCTCTACTCCTAGAGAGGAGGAGGGGACGGGGGGAGGCCTGAGGAGGAGAAGGAGGAGGAGGAGGAGGAGGAGGAGGAGGAGGAGGAGGAGGAGGAGGAGGAGATTGAGGAGGAGGAGGAGCAGGAGGAGGAAAAGGAGGGGGAGGAGGAGGAGGATGAGGAGGAGGAGAAGGAAAAGGAGAAGGAGGAGGAGGAGGAGGAGGAGGAGGAGGAGGAGGAGGAGGAGGGGAGGAGGAGGGGGAGGCGTCCCGCCCTCCTGCCGCGCAGGGGTCCGCAGAGGCAACCAAAAAAGGAAAGGAAGAGCGGCCACGGGGGAAAGGGGGGAGGAGGAGGAGGAGGAGGGGGGGAAGGGAGGGAGAGAGAGAGGGGGGGGAGGAGGAGGGAGGGGAGAGAGAGAGAGGATGGGAAGGAGGAGGAGGAGGGAGGGAGAGAGGAGGAGGGAGGAGGGAGAGGAGGAGGGAGGGAGAGGGAGGAGGGGAGGGAGAGAGGAGCGAGCGCCCCGGTCTTGAGCGCCCCGCGCCCCAGGCCCGCGATGCCGCGGCCGCTGCTCGGGGCGCTCGGGGCGCTGCTGGCCGGGATCGGGGGCCGTGCCGCGCGGGGGGCGGGGTCCCGGAGGCTCAGGGGCCGAATGTCTGGAGGGGGGGGAGACGGCAGTGTTTCGGCGGCAAGCGAGGGGGGGAAATGAGGAGGCAAGCGAGTGATTCGGCGGCAAGCGAGGAGGCCTCCCCCCCCCCTTCTCCTCGAGTTCGAGTACGTAGGGTCAGGAGGAGGATGCGGGGGAGGAGGAGGAGGAGGACCAGTGTAAACGCAAGACATGTCAACGATATTTGAATACACCCTCCCTCCGAGCTCCCTCTTTGCAGGCCCTGTAGGCCCCTGCTACGGTTCATTTCCACTCAGGGAAGTGCCGCGTTGGAAGAATCGTTGGACGATCATGAAGCGTGCCAAAACACCACTCTCGGAATTTCAACGACACGAATGAACTTGATCGTTGCGTCTTGACGATCCCGACTCGTACCAGAACGTCATTCTTGGGACATCTAGACAACGAATCGAAGCATCTGTTGCGCCCTGATAACCCAGAATCGTTCCAAAATATCTGATCTGGTACATTAATAACCATGGGAGTCCGCAGAATTCCTACTGCAATTTCTTAAGATGAATGTGCGCGGTGCTAAGGCGAGCGCCACGATTTGAGCCGCCCTCAATTCGTGAAGCTCTTGCATCTGCTAGAAAAAATGTGCTCAGCGCTAAGGCACGAGCCACATGATGAACACCACCCACCCTCAATCCGTGGAGCTCTTCTTTCTTTTCAAGCGACTGTGCGCGGCGCTGAGGCGAGAACCACATCTTGAAAACGGCCCGCCTGCACTCCGTGAAGCTCGTGCAGTTTTTTCTCAATCGTAAAAGCCCAATACAAACAACAAAAAAACAACAACATATCTGCACGGCGGTAAGGCGAGAGCCACATCTTGAAAACCACCCGCCCTCCATCTGTGAAGCTCTTGTCAGTTTTTGAGCTTCAGGCTCTGAAATGGTAAGGAAGTCTCAGTCGAAAAGCCCGGCCCGCCCTTACGCCTGGCTGCGGGGTGCGACAGGGAGGAATTACTCACAAGGAAAAGGAATGGAGGTGGAAAAGGAGGAGGGCGTCGAGGAGGATCAGGAGGAAATCGCACCGACTGCAGCCCCGCAGGCGTCTTTGCCGAGACAATGCTGCACTCGATACCTTTCGGCGGCGACCGAGGGGGGGCAGGGAGAATGAGGAGGTCTTTTCAGAAGGCGGCAGGGCTTCTCAAAAGCCCTCGTGCCTTCACAGAAGTTTTCTGTTTCTTCGGGGAAGGCTCAGAAAACTTCTCGGACGGCCAGGGGACTTCCGAGGCTTTGAGGCCCACCCCTTCTCACTTCCCCCTTGGGCTCGCTGGCGACTGGAGAGAGGGGGACGGCAGTGATGATACCCGAGTTACGTTACCCCCAGGGGCGTGACGATCATCGCGCATCGCGCGTCGCGGCCTTAGCCGGGGCGCTGCCCTTCTCCTAGGTGGCCTCGCGATGGCGCGAAAACGACCCCGATTCGGAAAGCCAACGGCCCGCGCCGGGCCAAGGGCGCACAGGGGCGACTGGGTGAAGAGGGCGGCCGCGGCGGAGGAGCGCGGGATGAGGGCCCAGGCGTGGAGGCTCTGGGCCGCGAGGGGTGCGCAGGCGGCCTCGGACACCGGGAACCGGCGAACACGGCCCGCTCACGGCACGCTGTCCCCCACCTCGGGGGGACGGCGCGCGCCGAAGAAGCCCCGGCAGGGGGACAGCGTGCCCCAGAAGGGGCCCTCGCGGGCGGGATCGTCTCACAGGGCCAGCATGCCCTTCGGAGGTCTGTGTTGCACGCTGTCTTTCCAACGCCAGGCTTCGTAATGAGGAGAATGAGGAGGATGAGGATGGACGGGTGAGCGGATGGATGGGGGTAGTAGTTTTGGATACACTGATAGGGGATCATATTCTGGATGGACATTGAGATATTTGCATGGATAGATGGATGGATGAGGAGGATGTCAGGGCGGAATCATCCTCTTGGGCCGTCTTGGGGTCCTGTTGGGCCGTCTGGGGGGCCCTCTTGGGGGCATCGGGCCAACTGGGGGCGATCGTGGGAGCCTCTTGGGCTGGCTTGGAGCGTCGGATGCCTGAACAGGCGAGAACGCCGAATTGTTCCGAAGCCAAACGGGAAATCAGTAATTCTGGGTTCTCGGGCCATCTTCGGGGCCTCTTGGCGCGTCTTGGGGGCTTCTTGGGCCGTCTGGAGACCATCTTGGGCGTCTTGGAGTGCTTTTTTCGGCGACTCGGTGCCATTTTGGACCGTCTTTAGGGCCCTCTTGCGTCGTTTTAGGGGAAAGTCACGCGTGGAAGCCCCCGAGAGTGCGCAGGAGCGCCCCAGAGCGCCTCGAACTCTGGGATGGGGGCCCCGTGAAGAGTAGTGGCAGGGCTGGGGGCCTGTGCCTGGGCTGGGGCCGGGGCCAGGACGGGGGCCAGGGCCGTGGCCTGGACCGGTGCCGGGGCCAGGGCTGGGGCTGGGGCCGGAGCTGGGGCCGAGGCGGGGGAAGGGGTCCTGCAGCCGGAGGTGGGGGTCACGACACCCGGGACCTC